TGCAAGTATCCATCTCCTCTCTTTTTAAAAAACTTTGTTAATAATAATTAATAAAAATAAAAAAAATGTTAAAATTTATTCGACATCGCCGAACGCATCAGCAACATACATTTGTATATAGATACCTATTATTAGTTTCATATTTTTTCGGTGCTGCGGATCCCCTGGGCAAACTTCGCGGATCCCCAGGGATCCGCAGATCACCGGTTGAAAACCACTGGTCTAGGGTATGGGGGACACTTACACCTACATTAAATTCAGAAAGAAAAAGCCTCTCAACAAACTGATTTTCAGCAATTTTGAAAGATAAAGAAGAGCTCTCCTAGAACCTCTTGTTTTTAAATTTCAGGGTGTATAAATTATCTAAATTAATACAAAAAAATTATGTTAGTTCAGGTATTCAATCAAAATGATAAGTGAAAATTATTGAGAAAATTGATGTGAATTTTCTCATGAAATTATTTGTTATTAACAGTGAACAAAATTTTTCATAATTTTCAACTGTTCACTTCTTAATTCATGTTTTCACTTTCTACAATTCAGACAAATCAATACAAAATATCAGTGGCAGTAAGTGTATGAACTATAATCTACAAGCTTACTGTCAGTTAGAAAAGTTAACATATGGTGTTTTAACTTCTTTCAGGAAGCCAATAAAACTTGTATATTTACATAATGTGATACCCTCTTTTACTCTCCAGTACAATGCTTTCATAGCAACAGTAACTGCCTTTTCTTCTCTACTAAAAACATTTTTTACAGCTGCATGCAGATTTTTAATTTTTCTTGGGAGAACTGATTGTTTGCTTGTGCTGCTTACTTTCTACATGTCTTGCCAACAATATTTTGAAATTATCGGTATCTACTAATATTGTGTTCTTATATCCTAACTTTTTTGCAAAGTTCACAAAGCATTTTATTGTTATCACAATCCAGATGAAGCTAAGAATTGTACAAAATGAGCTATCTTGTATGGAACTTCCTCATCTTGTGCCAGGTTTCTACTGATCAGTTTTCCTCACAATCTATATCAGCTGTGACAGAAATTTTCCCCACAACACATAAATTATAAAGCTGTGTCATCAATTTTCAATTCATACAGCATTCAAGTGTTGTGGTGACTTTACTCTTTTCAACTAATCAAACTGCATGTTACTAACCACAATGAATAATTTGAAAATATAAAAGTGTAAGGTGTAGTAAAGGACAATTCTTGGACCAATTTTATTTTGTATGCACTGAACTGACACATAATATGAATTTTTGTGTGCCATTTCATACTTATAAATGCAAATATCCCAATGCATGACCAAAATCATTCTCTCTATACATAACATGCAAAGCAGAATGAACAGGAAGTTGTGCTTTTAATCATAATAAATGCAAGGTAATACATGTCAGATTTAATCATTTGAATTATAAGTATAATTTTGATGGAAATAACAATGCTATAGATGAAAAGGGTCCTGATGCTCTGTTGATCAGTCTCTTTATCAATACAAGCAATGTGCTGTTGTTAGTGCACAGCAAACAAGATTTTATGTGGTATTTACAGAAATAGATCTGTCTGAAAAGATCACTCCATTTTAAAGGTCACTGGTCAGGCTACATTTAAAGCACTGTGTTCAGTCTTGGGCTTCTTACCTTAGGAAAGGCATTGAATTTTTGGAAAGAGTTCAGATAGTATTAGTACTAGAGATATACTTGGGATGAAGAGTTAGAGGGGATCCAAATGAAGTGTACAAGATTATTAATGGGATTGACAGTGTTAATGCTTCCTATTTGTTTTT